ATCTGGTAATCTTTATATAAAAAAAGGAACATATAAGCTTCATAAACAATTTCCCCCTCAAACCACTATTAACTGACCTGTAGCCCTCTAGTTTAAGTGTCTGTACATACTGGGGGCAAAACCCCTTACAGTTAAACACTGATATCATTTAAGAAAGATTCTTTAATGATATTGCCCACCTAGTGTATTCAATTCCTTAAAACAGAATAAATAAACAAATACTTTAACTAAAAACAGTGGGATAAAGTGTGTCTGCTGTGTAAATCTGCCAAGTCCCAGCTGTTCTGAACATCAGCATCAGAACTTCAGCCTTCTGAAGGTCCATGTAACCCTTGTTAGATCCACTGAGTCGAAATATTTCATATGAAAAGAATCTGCAACTTACATTCACTTTTAAACTGAACGAAAATATTTTCTTGTGTGCTCTACAAGAAACTGAAATTTTATTTTTTAATTTGGTTTCCATGGTTCAGTTAAAAAAAATAATATATATACATAGCAACTCTCAGTCACCTTGACGTTGAATTTTATTTAAGTTTGTTGCCACTTAGTTTTAAAGGAGGATAGCTGCATCAAAATCAGCTTCTAAGGGCTCTGACAACACAGCCCAGAACTGCAGCAGTGCTAACTGGCTGTTCAGCACTCTGAATGGTGCTGTGTACTCTGCTGATGATTAAAAGCTGTCACTTCTTGTATTCCAACTGGTCAACTTTATGAAGTCCAGAACCCAAAGCACCTTATGTAAGCTGATTTTCTAATACTACATTCATTCAAATTATTCCTGTTATTTAATACACCGTAACTTACTGGAAGCAAATATGAATACTAGGAAAATTACAGGGGCTTTGTTTTGCATATAACTCAGTTTTTTTAAAAAAAGTATTATCTAGTGGCTATTTGGGCATCTCAAAATTGTATCTCATTTCAGGAACCCAGGCAGTGAAGCTGCCTGTAGGTGAATAGAAGTAACCATTGCATAAATTCATTCTGCCTGATGGAATCCCCATCTGAAGAACTGCACAAAAATAAGGTATTTCACCTTTTGCAGCAGTGAAACCTTAACCCACCACATGTATATGATGTATTAAGAGCTGCACTGTTCACTCTAAGGTGAATTCTTTTTTGCTGCACATAAACACTAAAAAAGAAACGATATGTCATGTTTTCCATATTAGAGGCTCTTACAGAATTCAGTGATAAAGCTGGAGTCGGGAAGAGGTGGAGCAGGAGAGCAGTCACACTCATCTGATACTGGGACACTGAGAGAACTTATCAAAACATGATTGAGTTTATAGAGTTAACCCATGGAGAGCCCTGTTCCCGAGCAGCTGCCAGGAGGGCACAGCCACCAGCAACCAAACCCCCACAGGGGCTCCACTGCAAAGAAACAAACAGCACAAAAAGAGGATTTATCCAGAGTGGCAGATGTGCCTGGCAGATAATATCTGTGTCTGAACATGGGATTCCTTCCACACGAATCTTTAGGGGCCCTAACGCTGGACTATCTCCTCTCCACAGAACTTTGACCCTGTAGCACTGGGTTATTAGAACCTTCCAGACCACTGTCACAGTGACTCTCTCCAACAGATCTAACGGGCTCTTAAAAACACCACTTGGCAGTTTTTATTATGGTTTCCAGAGTAGCTGATCTTTTTTGTCTTTCTTTATTGGAGTACATTATCTGTTCTCATAAGCTTTAAGCTGCTTAAATATTGAGGGGTGGAAGAGAAACTGAAGCAAATACAGTTATCCATGTCTGAGGGGTACACACGTTGTTTTGAGCAATCCTCTATGAACTCTGAAAACAGGAGAAAGTTCTGTAGATCTAACCTATTAGAGAAGATGCACATTTTAAAAAACAGTTGCCATAACCTAAAATCAAGTTTTCCTCTTTCTTTCCAACCAGAAGAACATCTGAACTCATTTGTTGATGCTTAGTGACCTGTGACAGCAATTTGCAGAGACTTACTTCTGACATGGCCTTACATGAACTCAGATTCCAAAGAGCTGAACAGTCTAAATAGCAACAAAGTGTGCAGCTGACATTGTTAACAGTTATATTATGTTAATACCTTTACCTTATATTATTTATATATTTAGCAACAACACCAAAACAAAGTGCATCTATTTAGGTTCCCAAGAGGCCAGGGACAGTAAGCAGATTATCATGGCACAAGTGGGATCTGAAGGACCAGGCAGCTGCTATGCAGATGATTTACCACTAAGATGGTGCTCACAGAATGAAAGGATAAACAAGTGGCAGAGGTTGCAAACGTATGTGGAACAGTAAAGAAGGTCACAGGAAGGAGCTAAGCTTTGAAGTGCTCTGAAGACAAAATATAGTCAGAATTTCTAGAAAAGCAGAGTGAGCAACCTCAAGGGATGAGCAAAGGGCAAAGAACAGTTTCAGAAACATGGGTATCTCTGTACTCATCCCACATGCAACAGAAATACATCCTTATAGTTCCTGACAATGTACTTTTTCCTGTTGACTCAACATGCCTAAGAAAAGCCTGGGATGTCCCATAGGAAAATAACAAGAGAAGTAGAAGTGAAAGAGTACTTGGAAACCCTGTCATAAGTCGAGTGTGATACCGTAAGTGTGTCATATGAGCAAATAATGGTGGGAGGTGCAACTTTACCTGTAAAGGAGTCATCAGGGAGAGATAAAGAGGAAAGCAAGAGCCAGGCAGATGTGAAATGCAACAACAAGGAAATGTACACAAGAATTCATGCCTGGACAGAAGGAACATTTAAGAAATAACGCTGGCCCAAGGGGAGGCAATAAGCTATAAAGGTGGAAATGGGCACTCAAATTGTGCAGAATGAAGCTGGAGTAGGCAAGAGTTGGGTTGTATGAGTCAAAGGTTTCCTTGGGTTTTGTTTTTAATTATTGTTTTGCCGCTACTAAAGCAAGTTATACTGCAAAGGGAGAGGGTCTCCTAAACCCTGAGCCTAGTGAAGGGTGAAATCAGTGGGACCATGCTCTTCCATTAGTTCACCTGCCGGGGTGTCCAACTCCTTGCTCCCTCTCTTCCAACTGACCTACTCTTGCTTTTTAATTTGTTCCTTTTTAACCATCCAAGACAGACTTATATTCAGTGCTACTTTGTATCAGTTACTCTTACTATTTAGTTGTGCCTTCTTTCACCTTGCATTGCGCTGAACTAACCACGTTACAAATGGAGCCGATATCAATTACAAACTTACCACCCGCCAAACTGGTCAATGCTTGCGCCACAAAGACATAAAATGATAGGGTTGGAAGGGGCCTGTTTTTCAGCCCAGCCCCCAGTATCAAGCAGGATTTTCTTCTCCACTCATGTTAAAAGCATTTTATCTGAGCTGTATCATTATATTATAAACAGCACCAACTCAGCAATCGCATGAGGAAAATATATTCTGAAACCTACTTGCCTGCACTGCTGCATTTTCTTGCCCCTCACATCTAACCTGGGCAATCGAGTTTTATTTTTCTGTATATCCAGCCAACATGTTTTCTGTTAATCCCTATGGTATGTACATAAGCTAGTAAGCCTAAAGAAATGTCATGTTACCCAGGCTGAGACATAACAGCAGTGTGACACTTCATCCTCTCGCACTTGAGAGTTCAGAGAATGTTCCCCTTGAGGTACAGCTAATTGCAAGTTTGTTTTCTTCCAGAAATATTGATCATCCACTATTTAAAGTTTTAAGAACTAATCCATAAGTAATATTTAGCACGACACTTTCAAAAACTTTCAAACCCTCATGAGGAGCTGACAGTCTACTAAGTCATGGTTTATGTATAAATGCAGCACTTCTGGCCAAGATTTTTAGTTTTCTCAGTCTAGATCTGAAGCAAATCTGTGCTGTCCAGCAAAGCTCTACATAGGGCCCAGCCTTCCCTTAGGCAGCACCTTTGGGTTTCAGTTTGTAGGAATTAAGAGATCCTGTGGGAACTCAAGAAAACATGATGAAGGTACGAGTCTTAGGCCTTTTTAGAGACTTGCCTTGTTGGCACCAGCTTTATTAGCTATGTACAGTTTATAATGATATTACAGCTTGTGAAAACACATATTCAGAGGTCAGATAAACTAGGTAAGAGCTACCTAACATATAGATGATAACAGAGCAAGCAAGTAGATAAACCATTTATTGTATAAACAAAAAAAAAATCAGACAGTGCTGCAGCTGGATAAAGGTTTGGGGTCTTTAAGTCAAATAAAATAATCTGAGTGTAGAATGGTCATGCTTCAAACTGTGACCCAACCTGCTCTGCAACTTAGTGCTGCATTATGAATGAAAATGCCTGAAAAAACCTGACTGCAGCTATGGACTCTGTAATACAACTGAGCAGCACTTTGTTTCTTTCTCATTAATTAAAGTTCGTTTCATGCCTCTTTTCTAAAATAATCTTTGCCACAAAGCGCTCTCAACTTTTCCTGCTGCGTTTTAAGAAGTTTTTTCTTAAGTACCTTATGCAAATTTGTATCTAAATAAAACCACCTTCAGCTTTAATGGAGTGTAAAGAAATTGGCTTTTGGCCAAGTATCAGCACTCTAAAAGTACTTCTACACAAATACCTTTCCTACTTTGCTGTTTCTCCTGTCAGCTTCTGATGATTAAAGTCCTTCTAAAGTTTCGAGGCAACAAACACTTGATGCCACAGTTTGTAATATGGAGTTATCCACAGCACATATACAATTCTGTCTGTGGACAATGTATCAAACAGGACTGTAGGAAATTTCTGCCATTTGGGAGTTGCAGTGGTTTTACATACTGATAATGAACCTTTAAATACAAACCAAGCAGCACAGACAGACCTTACCTAAAAAAATCCAACCCAAAAAATCCAACTGCAGTCAGATAGAACTCAAACTCAGTAACCATTTTTAGTGTTCTTCTGGTATTTATTCCATAAACACCTGCTTAATTTTATATGAAGGAGTTTTACATTGGTGTTTATTTGCTATGGAATAAAGCCTGCAAATTTGTAAAAATATGACAAATTATTTTGAGAAAGCAAGGCAACACTGTTTTGATTGGTGATATCAGCTAAAAACACGCTTCAAAGGTACTAACTTTATTTCATTAGTCCAAGGAGTTTACGTATAAACAACAGAACAACCACAGTACAAAACTCAGAATGGGATAAATTATCAACCTACAGTTCAAAAACTCTTTTGAGAAATGATGCATTTTAAAGTTGTAGAAATATATACTCTCACATCCGTAAACTGTGAGTGACATGCAAACACTCTTGAGAGCAACCAACTTTTTAAAAAAGGAAGCAGAACTGAACCCCATAACACCATCACAAAACGAGGGTCATGTCGTAATGCCTTTTCACAACACCAAAACAATCTCCAAATTCAAATTAAACACTCAGAAACTTTTCTTCCTACCTTGTGCTACAAGCTGGCTCATGTTTGCCAGCACCACAAGCACCTGTGCACTTTGTAGTACGGGAATTTTTAAATACCGATTGTTCAGGATATATTATTGCCTATAAAACTGAAACCTCAAAGCTACACATTCTCATCCCGGGTTAAAAATAAACCCCACGCTCTTGAACCAGGGGCTGTTGATTGCAGTCGCAGGGAATGGCACAGCCTCTGCAGCGTCCCCAGAGACCCCCAGCGCCGATGACAATACCACGACAAACCTGCGTGCTCCGGCAGCCCCGTGTATTTTAAGTAGTAAATCTGAAACCCAGAGACTACAAAAGCGAGCTGGATCCAACACAGCTCCGACCGGAGCCTCTCACTTCTTGAAACTGGCTGTAAACAGGGAAAGGGAGGGGCCAGGCGGCTGCCAAGCCAAGCAGAAACTTGTGAGTAACTTATAGAGCAAAAACAAGTGCAGCTCAGGCAGCAGCGCCCAGGCGGGCGCTGGCACGGCCAGCACCATGTTCCCAAGGAGAACCACGCCGGGGCCTCGCGGCCGGCTTCCTTCCTCGGGAATGCGGCTCGGAGGAATGCCAATGTGAAGGGAAGGTAAGAGGCTCCGGAGCGCGGCGGCCGCGCCGTGGGAACGGCGGGCGCGGAGCGGCGGCGGGCACGGAGCGCTCCCCGCTCCCTGCCCACGGCCGGCTTTCGTTTTCAACCTTATCCCGGGTTTAAAAGCAAGGAGAACCTGGGAAGTGCCGCGGCCGGCCGAGTCAGGCCACCGTAAACAAGAGGCTGCAGCGTTCACTTATGCAACAGAGTCAACCTGGGACTGCAGACAGAGCTCCTTGTGCCCGGAGAGGGAAGGGGGTCAGCTTAGACTGAGCGAGTCAAGCTGCGTTCAGGGATCGCAAGGACCTACCCAGATACGGTAAAACTGTGACGGCAAAACTGCCTTTAAAAATGACAAAAGAGACGGCTGGGTGAGAAATGCTGAGCTGGGCCTGCACAGCACAGCAAAAAAGGTTCAGTGCCTTCGCCAGTAAGTGACCATTAAACATGGGTGATTTCGGCATTAGTGGCAAAAATATCTCACCTGGTAACTTAAAAGTCATCAACAAAATTTCTTACGAAAATATTTCTATTTGGATTTTATTTTTGCTCATTTCAGATGTAAATATTGTAATTTTCTTCAGATTACTATTTAACACAGAGAATCACCTGCCATTTCTATCGCTATTTCATTGAAACAGAATCGTGTTAAACTGTGTAAAGAAAAAAGGGGTAATTACTAAAAACACTTGTGAAACCAGACATCCCCCTGCTCTGTAAAATACAAAGTGTGGTAGCAAAGACTTGATCTTCTGAGACAATATACAGGCAAGTTACTCTGTGGCTGATGTAATTCAGTCTGGAGTAATCAAAGCTACATGCTTAAGGATAAACCTACATAATGGAATTACGTGATTGTATCCATGCCTGTGCTTAGTCACCCTTGCACTCACCATAATGCATATATTTGCAATATCTGGTTCCAGTCTGTTGCTTTGCTTGAATCAAGTCATAACAGTTCAATGTAGTTTTGGTTCCCTTCAACTGCGCAAAAAACAGCTTTGCTTTTTCTTTCTTAAAAACTTAAAACAACAGATGCTTCCTGAAAACAAACTGGGTTGTTTTCAGTGCTCAAAAATAGCATGAGGATGGAAAGACAACGTAAAGATATGATACAGTCCATTCATATGCAGTACTATAGCTAAAAAACTGAATTGAGAAAGTGAACCAAAAAAGTAGGTTTTCCCACAAAGGTGAAAACAGGCTTTGAAAACAACAGAACTGCAGCTGGTACTGCTGCCACAGAAGTCACTTCTCTGAGGAAAGCCAGCATAGGACAATGGAATAAAAATTTGCTTGCCCAGCTAAAATGACTGTATTTTTAGCCTGATTTCTGGCACAGGTTATGGTATTTAGAAGAAAAACGTACACAAAACAACTGCAATGGGAAATAAATCATGAAAGTTGACGTGATTTGGGGGCAAATTCTGTACTGTGACTGAAGTGTCAAAGAATTAGCACTAGAGAGATGCACCCATCTATTATTCATATGCTTACAAACTCCACACTGTGTAATTCAGCCATATGGTTCACAGAGTATAGCATGTTGTCTAGTAACATTCATTTTCATTGCACAATGTTTATTGGGGATTTGATTAAATCTTGCTCTCTCTCTCTGGAAAGAATGCGGGTATGTGTGCTTACACTTTTCTGTACGTGCTGAAAGGGAAGTGTGCAAAAAACCACAGGAGTGTGTGACAGTGTCGGAGTACATGGGAAATCACCTGCTGCATAAACTCCACACTGGCCCAGAAATGAGCTGGCAGGAATCATAACTGTGATTTTAAGTGCAGGTTTTTAGTTGTACTTTAGAGGTTATTTCTTATTTCTGCATTTTGGAAAGAGACTTTTCACAATTGCTTTGAAGTTCAGTTATTTCAGTTAAAACGTTATCTCTTTACTGACCATAAAGCAAAGATGGCTGGATAACAACTGATAGTAGCATACTTTAAAGAATTCATGCTATTTTGAGAGGAAATGATAGCTAACTCTTGCCTTTTTGGAAAATCAGACTGCCCTGATATTAGGTTCCCTGGACTACAGAGGTCCATTGTTTTTTTCAGAACTTAACAGTTATAGGTTGGAAGTCTGAATACAAACTGACCTATTAAAAAAACCTAAATCTTTCATCTCACTTCCCAGTTCCTCTAGTCTTTGTCAGTTTTATCAGTGATCCGGCTCCCATCCACCATACTGCCTTGGATGTGCCTCCCAAGAAACCATCTTTTCAATGGAAAGCTTATTTAACACCTCAGAGAACTCTATTCTCCATCTTATTACAAAGATTTGTGCTTCAGTTTATATCCTTCCATTCTTCAGCAGTTACCCTTATATATTACTAGCTATATACAAGGTACTGTTTGATAATTTAAAAATACCATTGTGCTAATATTCATATGTACTACATCAGTACTTATAGACAGTTTACAATTTACTTCTGTTGAGTGTCCTGTATCAACTCATTTGCAACCAATTTCATTTCAGTTAGAACTTCAGGACATTTACTAGTCTCACAAAATTTTGAATCACAGATTACTTTCTCCTAGACTAACAAGGTCAGCTATGTGATGCATATAATCTTCAAGTTTAAAATGTTTTCTTCACACTACACTGCATTTCACTTACAATGTAATGTTTCAACAACACTTTCACTATTTTTCTCTCTACAGAAAAGCTGGTAACCAGCAAAGAAGACACAACAGCTAAAATCACTATGTGGAGCTGTGAAGCCTTAATCAACAGTACCGAGAACAGCGAGGACCAGCATCTCTGCCATGACTTCGACCTTGTACTGTCCATCTTTTCCCTACTCTACCTCATTATATGTTTCCCAATTGGCCTTTGTTACAACGGCTTGCTGGTCCTAGTTAACCTCTACAACAAAGCTACCATGACTATGCCAGATGTTTACTTTGTCAACATTGCCATTGCTGGTCTCATCATCAACGCTCTGGCACCAATGTACCTTCTAGGTGTTGCCAATACAAAATGGGCCATCTGGAATTCCAACAATGAAGTTTATATTACCTTTCTTATTTTATTCAACGTCTCGTCCTTAGTTACAATGTACTCTACGACACTGCTCAGTCTGGACTACTACATCGAACGCGCTCTCCCCAGAACTTACATGTCGAGCGTGTACAACACCAAACACGTCTGTGGGTTCATCTGGGGCGGTGCCATGCTGACGAGTTTCTCATCTCTCCTGTTCTACGTCTGCAATCACGTGTCCACCAAAATAATTGAGTGTTCCAAGATGCAGAACCAAGAGGCAGCGGATGCCATCATGGTGTTCATCGGGTACGTCGTACCCGCCATCGCGGTACTCTACGCGCTCACGTTAATCCTGCGGATACGCAAAGAGGCCACGCCACTGGATCAAGACACTGGGCGGTTGGATCCGTCAGTGCACAGGCTTTTGATTGCCACAGTCTGCACACAGTTCACGCTGTGGACACCCTATTACGTTATTCTCTTGGTAAGCACATTTACTAACCTGCAAGGAAGAATTGCGGATATAAATTACATTCGAATATTGCATTTTACCACGATTTTATCCAAATTCTTGGCTTTCTCAAGCAGCTTTGTAATGCCTCTGCTCTACAGATATATTAACAAAAACTTTCCCAACAAATTGCGACGTTTGCTTAAAAAGATACACTGTGGGAATCAGGGGTGTTCTCACGAGCGCACAGTAGTACAGCAAGTCATGACATAGGTGTGACAAACCCCCCTGGTGCTCTGTTACTGCAGTGCTTGGTGTTCTTGGGACTGTGATACTGCTGTGTTGGCACTCAGAGACATTAAAGAGTCCCAACCAAGAGGCTGGAAGGAGCTTCCATTGCAGCTGAATGCAACAGTCTTAATTTTCAAATAGTCGTTTGCTGAAGTCGCGTGAGGCTCCGGCCAGTGTGCTGCAATACCTGTGACATCTGATACCTTCAGTGCACTGAACTGGTTACAAACTCTGTCTTCATGTCTCTAAACTTCCTGTCTGAAGAAATCACTAAGCAGTTTATTGAAGTCTTGACTGAAGACACAGCACCTTGTATCTTGTATAGAAAAAGGTATTACCTTATTTTCTGTACAAAGAAGTGATAGTGCTATCCTTGATGAAGTAAATAGTGTTTTTCAATGAAGATTATATAGATGATCTTTACTGAAGATCATATGATCCAATTATACATGCCCAAATAGTAAATGTTAATTATAAATTAAATTATTTAATTTCTTTCTCCATCACTGAATCCCCTCTAAAAGAAGCCTAATTTACCATTTTCAGAAATTATTTTCTCACACCAACTAACCTGTTTTAAAGTTTATGGTAAAGTGATTTTTTTCCTAGCTATAACAATTAACAAAAATGTGTTTTAATTTTCCAGTCCTTTGTTTGCATCCTAAAACATTTCAAGAATCCAGAAATATTTATTGACTAATTCTAAGGGAACCTAAAGATGTTTGTTCCACATATGAAAATGAAGGACACAGTGGTTTACAAAGTTAAATCAGAATTTAACTAGTAAAGATTGTCTGGCTAAGTGTTATGGTCCACATATGTTCATGTAATGAGAGTAATTATCTTAAAAAATAAATATGTTTATGATTAACATTTTGTATTTTCAAGGGATATGTTTGCAACAAATAAATTAAACTCTCTTTAATCTAGGGCATCACTAAAGGTTTGGAAACCATTTAAAATTCCTCAATATATACAAGGTTTTAAAATGGGAGTAATATCTAGGAATCCCAGTCAGCATCAGCCTTTGCTGACCTCCCAGAAATGGAAGTGCCTCCCAATGGGATTCTTGGATACACAGTAAAGTCTAGTTTCTGTATTTCACAGTAGGGATGAAGAAATCCAGCCCAGATCACCAAATTTTACTGGTTTGATGAAATACATAAGAACTACAAACATGCTGCAGGAAGCACATAAATAATTACCCACAACAACAAACTACAAAGCACTGACCCAAGAACTGCCTGTTCCCGTGCTGCTGTTGCATTATTAATGACAGAGGGGTACAAGTGGAACTGAGATTCTCCCACTGGTTTGGGGGCCATGAGACATCTTTGTTACTCTCCCTGCAACACCACAGCATTGTTTTGTTGCTTAATCTGTCACAGCACAGTTCAAATTCCCCGTGACTTTATGCAAAAAATGTGGCTTTTCAAGCTTCAGGTATAATAAAAACATGGAGCAAAACCAGATCTGAATCTTTTCCATTGCTTAGAGCACAATCTCATCTGATAGCTGGTCCTGTCTGTCAGCAGAGGCACATGCTTAAGTGCTAAGGGGAAAGCAGGTGAGGAACAGACTTTTCATACCTTTTCCCTTCAACATTACTCAATTTCTTCTCATAGTCATCTTTGCTTATCTTCTTCATACACAAGCATCTTTAAGTTGTCAGCATTTTGGTGGAAGACTCTCCATTAGTCCTTTTTTTAACAACTTTTCATAGTTTATTGAAATCTTTCTAGCCCTTAAAGACTATACAGTAAATAATCTTACTTCTATGGTGTTTTCTCCACACAAAAACTATCCAGCATAACTACATCAGTTTACTTCACAGTTTTAGCCCTTGATGAAAACCATGTTAAGGAATGAAAGCTGTTCTTTATCACTCTGTCCAACTCACACACTCATTTATAGTGCCTCTATGCTGATACAATACTGGATATTTTGGTTGATTTTTTTCCCTCTTGAGAGGTTTTCTATGAATTTCTGTACATCTTGATCATTCAAACTCACTTCCACACAGAAGTGCTTAAGAAAGAAAAATCTTTCCTTACAGCTGTCAGGCAAAGAGATTCCTCCTTCCCATCTGAGGAAAATTAGGTTTCGTAATGCACCACATTAAATCGCTCACGTAAAATCTGTTAAAGAAATTCTGTCCCATTATGCAGGAGGAGTTCCAGCAGGGAGGAACTGCCTTATCTGGTGTGAATAGGGGCTTTCAGAACTGGGACACTGCCAGAACAGTGCGGCTGAACAGGCAGCACGAAGTGCAATTTTAACTTCCACGTTCCTTCCTTACTTCCATCTCCTCCTTCTCTTAAGACATCTTACTTTCTGTCTCCAACAGGACTGTTGCCTTTATTTCTGTTCCTTTCTCTCTGTGTTAAATTCTCAGTTTCAGATCATGGCTCTTCTATAATTTCTCTTTATCTTTTTCACTTCTCTGCCCCATTTATTTAACTTCCATTTCTCTCCTGTCCCCATCCATGCTTGGACTTGTATAGCTGGTACTGTTCTACACTCATGTTTACTTCATTTGCGTGACTCCTTTATGATGACCCAAATATTATTCAATTATTTGAATGGAAGCTGCTGTTTAAGAGATGGAGAAAGACAGGGTTTTATGTAATTTATGCTTGAAATATCAAATCTGATTTTTTCCTGGGTTTTTTTATTGCCACAGAGCTACATATGTTTGCATTTATCCTTAATAAATATTAAATGTGATGGCAATCATAGATACAAACAACTTTGATATTTTAATGAACAAGACTGGTATCCACTCAACCTCTTCTAAGAGATAATTTGATTTATTAGTTGCCTCAAAGCAACTGTGCCATGGACCTGCCTGGCTGCTGTTCTCTTAAGAAAATTCTGGACTTATTGCAGCACACTCACATGGTATCTCTTAAAAAGCAGTATCCCAGAAAAGGAGAGCTTTCCAATATTTATATAAAGAACAGTAGAGGAGCAAGTGCAGTAAAATACTTAAGGAAATACATGTTATCTTAATCTAGAGAGAAATTCAATGGACAAATTACAAAGTTCTCGAGAATGGGGCCTTTCCATTTCAAATACCTGAAGGTTTCTGATGACTGTAAATAGGGGCTTATCTATTTCACATTTAAATAAATATGAATAAAATACTGTATATATGCAAGATAGAAATCAGCCTACTGATGTAAAAAGAATTTGCAAAGAGTTTATTAAATTATTTCTTAAAGTGTATAATTTAAATGTAAACCTCTGAACAGGAAGGTGTACTGTATGCTTCTATATGTATATACTGTGTACTAGAAAGTAAGCACTAGTTAAGTGCCATTATTAACAGTGTTATTTTCTCACAGAATTAAACTTAATATTTGAGTTGATCTATGGCTTATTGCCCTCTTGCTGAACTGCTAATTAAGTCAAATCAATGAACTAACAGAACTGTCGTGCTCTGCTTCTGTTTGAGTTATTAACACAGCTAACTCAGGACAGGTCCTTGTTGACTTAACTTAGTAGAGGTCCTAGTTTCAAAAGTTTCAGAATCAAATTGTGTTGGTCTCTGAAGATGTAAATTCAGTTAATGGAAGAAAGTGATCAGCCATTAGAAAATTTCTGGTTCTATTACAATGAAGAGCTGTGGCCTCCAATATCATGTCAAAATACTACAGAAATGGACTTTCTGGAAAGCTTCATAAAGGAACTATTGACTCATAATTCATTCTCAATAAAAAGTGTTTTAAGTGTATCTGGTCAGTGAGATGTGTGAACTTTTTTTGGCTTTCTTGATAAAAACCTATTGTAGACAAGGTTAAACCTGTGTTGCTTCACTAAATCAACCATAAAAAATTTCATGACTTGGATATCAAATTTCCAGGCCATAATTTTGACATCATTAAAATCTCATTATTCATCAGCATGAAGCTGGCTGAGAATGAAAGCAAAAAGGCACATAACTCTCCCAAATTTTTTCAGCGTAAAAAATCCTGCAACTTGTAAGACAGTAACAGTGCACCACAAAAATGCAAGGATGGAGATTAATGCATACATTGCCCACATCCTGACAACTTCCTCTCCTTTGTGCTGCCACAGTCAGCTCCCTGCAGAACACCTTTTGGTTCCCAGAACAACATAATACAGTAACCCACACCTCTGTCATCCCAAAGAAAATGTAGCTTTCAGAATATAATGTACCTCATAGCACATTTATTGCAGTAACCACTGCATAAAACCAAAAGATCACTGACCATGGTTCAGTTAGTTTACCCCACATATATGAAAGTGTTTTCCTGGTTATACTTACCAAATTATTCATTTGTTCCCTTTCAATTTCCTGTAAAGTGTAGGAAGACAGCAAATAATAGCAAACTCTATTTAAAATAGCTATTGGTAAATTCCTTTAGAAAAAAAAAAGTCAGTCCAAGGCACTTCTGAGTTTTAAGTCTCAGTGAGAAACAAATGAAAATTGCAACTGTCAGAGTGGAAGTTGCAATACTACACCAGTTAGTCAAAGCCTAGTGTGTGACAAGATTCCCTTATTTCCATACAATGGTTTAGAGGATGTTTTCTGTTACTCAAATAGGAGAGCCAACATCTCTGAACAAACATAGAGCAGTGATTTCCTGATCCCTCATTCCACAGAGCTTTAAGATACAACCAACATACCCTGTTGGGTATGTTTCTCAGCTGGCTTAGTAAAACCCCTTGCATATAACAGAGGCTTGAAGGATCTTCAGTGAGAACAGAGTTAGTCATATGCAAGTTCACAAGCCCACAGCTTTGTGAAGGGAGAACTACATAAATGCAAGGAAAAAGAGTTGATCAGGTTCAACAAAGTCAAGATGTTTACACCAGTACAAACCAGGCTGACATGGCATCTGAATCTGCCCTTTTCTGTCAATACAATGAGATTTCACAGAACTCAACTACATTTTGGAGCATACTCAGAAATACTGAGCATAATCAGAAAATACTCATTCAACTATTATAAATAGGAAAATAGGCCCCAAGGTTGTGAAGAAAATATGACACCGCTCCCAGAAACCTCAAAGGGAGGTAAAACTTTTTTTTTTTCTTATTTTAAAACTGAGATTCAATTAAATTGGTTTTGTGCTGTTGGTACATGCATAGATAATACCCCACTTATCACTGCTAAATAAAAATGAAAGCAGCACAGTGTCCAGGCTGGAGACCTTCTCGTGAGCTTCACTGCAGCAGCACAGGACTGGTAAGAGCAAAGAAAAGCAGAAGTTGCCCAAGTGCTGCTCTCAGTTCCGCTGTGGGCCAAGGACTTGGAGAAGAATTGATTCTTGCCTAAGTTTCTGCAGCTGTAAAGAGCTCAATGCACTGATGAATCTGAAACAGATGCTCATGGATTAAATTATGAAGTTTCTTAATAAGCAAAACCTTGTGTATTTCTAAAATATCTCATGCAATACTTTTTCCAAGTGAAAGCAGTCTAGTGGTACAAGCCCAGCTGTGCAGACTGTCATGGCAAAAAGGCTGAAGTGTGAAATGTTTGTTCTGTTGTATTTCCTTTAGCTTTCCATTCTATATCAAAACACTTTGACATATGATGAATACCTTCTTTTTCCATCAGGAGAGCAGAGATGTATTCTCTCCTATTTTATCCTTCTCTCTTCCCATCAAGTCCTTTCCTTAACTTGGAAGGCCATATGATTTCCTTATATTCCTTCCTTCTAAAGAACTGGCACTTCTAATTCCATGTACAAGAACAGTTAAAAGTTATTCACAGTCTAAAGCAGGCAGAACTTCTGTATTATTACAAATCATGACAGTAAATATTTTAAAACATCAGATTCTTATCAGAATTAAGTATATAAGTGGAGTATGAAATCAAGTGAATTTATTAGGTATAAAAATATATTTAAAAAAACCTTTTCTATCAAAAGTTCTTCAAGGCAAGACTTACAACCAGAAGGTGAATCTATTTATCTAATTGTACTTGCACACTTTTTCCCTTCTTCTTAAATACATTATCCCAGAGGTGCTGCCACTGGCACTGATGGGCTCAGCCTTGTCCAGTGGCGGGTCAAGGATCCTTGTGGGTCCTTTCCAACTCAGAATATTCCGAGTGATCTGTGGGTCCATCTTGGTGCCAGCTGGCACTGGATCTGTCAGACACAGGAGAAGCTTCTGGCAGCTTCTCACAGAAGCCTCCTCTGGAGCCTCTCCCCACCTCCACTGCCAAAACCTCACCATGCGATTTGTAATTACTAATTACAAAGTGAATTGAAAAACCTAGTTTTAGCAAAATGAATTTGCAAATTTAAGCTCCTGCAACTCTTTCTTATCTCCAAAACCTTTGAAAGACCATTTTGAAACGAATGCTAGTATTGGGTTATCAAAGCTGTTTCAGAAACTCCATCTGGTGGCCGCTAGCAGAATATTCTTGCAGTTCCCAAAAGATCTGTAGAATTAGTTAAAGGATTTAAATTAATTGTTAGGGGGGGAAAAAATCAGTCCCAGTTTCTGGTTAAACACAGATATATATACTAACTAGTCCTGTCTGCAGGCAGTGAGGGTGTTGCTGCAAGTATTTGTGAGAAGAAACAAAATTAACCTCAACTTCTACAACCAACTGCTGCTGTGAGGGTGAGGCATGTAAGAGACAATTCTGTTGCAAGAAACAAACCTCAGCAATGGTTAATTTTAGTTTTGAACCTAATAGAGGGATATTTAACCAGGTTGTAAGGTCTGATTATTCACAAGGAAGAAATATTTCTAAAAAAGCACGTTTCTCGTATTGTTTTATGAAACATCTGGTACTGGTCATTGTGGTTGACAAGATACTCCAATCCAAGACCACAGGAAGTGCCATTCCCATTCAGCTCCAGAGTACTGCAATCCTTCTAATTAAGTTATGGTTTCACTAGTTCACAATGAAATAGATTTCATACTTAATTAATACAGACATTTGAAATTTTTCAGGTCAGCCTATGTGCAATTAAATAATCATTCTGGCATCTGCAGTGCTATGCAGAGACCAGCTCTCTCATAAAATTTGCAATTAGAAAAAGCTTTTTTCCACCCTTTAATAGAAGTAGAGTATTATTAGCAAATACAGGCAGTTTTTGAGCCCTTGTAGCTGAGTTACACAGATGATTTACCCCTACTGAGGAATTTATTTTGTGATTGATAGAAACATTACTGCAGAGTAATAATAATAAAACGCTGTTTATAAAACAACTTGCATTACAAACAGTGCTCAAATAAGCCAATATAAAATCACTAATAGTGAATCATGGGCAAGTAACCCTGAGATGTGAAGGCAGCAGTCACAGAGCACCAAGCATGGCTGTTCTAAGATAAAAGGAAGAAATGTTGATTTACAGCAGCCTCTGAGGCACAGGGAATTATTAATACCAGTTCTTATGGATACACATCACCAACTCGGGCTTTTCTAACCCCTTCCTAGCAGAGGGAGAAAGACTATCAAATTTTACAATTTCATGTAGCTCCGGGTACCTTATAAATCAGCAGAAGCATCTGAATTCCATTTTAAAAACCACACTCAAAAAACCCTCCCAAAACCAAACATGCAGAGAATATAATACAATAAAGGTATGCAAGGGGGTTTTATTCTAGAATTCATCCATACACAAAGTTCCTTTAACTTTCTTCTAGCTAATAATTCTTAGTTCTATGTACAACTTCCTTCGTGTTTTGGGGCTTGGTGGTTTGGGGTTTTTGTTGTTTTGGTTTTTCTGGAGGTGTCCTTTTTAATGTCAAAGGCCTGATGTTCCACAGTGTTTTAATCAAGGACACAAATGTAATTTAATTTAATTTAATTTCATTTCACTTCATTATTCATTATTCATTTAACTTCATTTCCGTGAAATTTCATTTACATTCCAGGTGCGTTCCAGGTATGTTCCAGGTCCTGGTGTGTTTGAACAAGCCTAGAAACATGTTCCAGGTGGTTTCCAAATGTGTTTCGGGTTTGTTCAAGGTGTGTTGTAGGTGTGTTCCAGGCATGTTTTAGGTCCAGATGTGTTTGAACACGTCTGGAAACATGTTCAGGGTGTTTTCCAGGTGTATTCCAGGCGTGTTCCAGGTCCAGGTGTGTTTGAACATGAGTGTGTGTTTGCTCTGGGGGGTTTCTGGGTGTGTTTCAGGTGTGTTCCAGGTGTGTTCTAGGTACGTTCTGGGTGTGTTTTCTATGTGTTCCAGGTACACATGTTCCTGTGTTCCAGGTGTGTTCTGGGTCTAGGCATTTAAATTTAATCGAATTTCATTGAATTTCATTTCATTCGAATTAAATTTAATTTAATTTCAATTCAATTCATTTCTTGAGATTTCATTGTTGCCATATGAACAGCTAAGGTGTGTTAAAAAATAAACCAGAGTTTTGCCCACCACAGCACACTGGGGGTGGTGGGTGGAATTATGTGTGTTATCAGCCAATCCCTAAATACTGGCACAGTATCTCACAACTATTTCACTTCTGCAACTTCCACCTTTCCTGCATCCACCCTATCCAGAATATCATTATCAGACAATTTCCACTGAGAGCAAGTAAACTAATACATGCTAAGAAATTTCACCAAGAAATCATAAATCCACAAATCACTAATAAAAATAGTGGCATTGTGCATCAACCCAAACACAATCACTTAACCACCATTTTTTGCAGTTTTATGAAACCTTTATACAACTGAACACAAGTCTGTTTGCCACTGTTCTCATATGACTTGTACCCTGTGATCATTTAGGCAAATTAAATAA